CCAGTGCCTGGGCAGATCGATCCACGCCATAACTCGTTCAACAGCCCTCATCAACCACATGGGCGATCGCCAGAGTTGGACCAGCGAGGCGCTCGCAGCCCACCGCAGCCAGCCCATTTTGGCGGATACGACACATCGGCCACACATGGGGAACATGACCGAATGGGCCAGGGCTTAGGGGGCCCACGATCCATGCAGAATGCATCTGCAGACCTGTATTCAACTCCTATTCACCAATTGGCGCAAAGTCAACAACAGCAGCAGCAGCAGCAGCAGCAGCAGCAGCAGCAGCAGCAGCAGCAGCGGAGCTTGATAGAACCTCAGTACGATCAAGTTCCAATTCCTCGGGGTTACGAGGCTGTTCACGGGGAGGGCAGCGTCGAACCTTCACCCTACTTGTACGGACGCAGAGTGTCCGGGGGGTTCCAACGACCATCGTTCGAACAGCAGCCGAGTAACAATACTGGCAACCGCAGACAATTCTCGGCAGAACAACCCTATCGTCCCTACAGTCAAACGCAACAGGTCCAGCCAGCCCTGCGGCATGGCGTCTCACCTCCTCTAGGCCAGCAGGCTAGCCTCCGTGACAGCATAGCCTTGGGTAGTTCCAGTCAAACCCTGTCTCACGCCGGCCATCCTGCAACGCACTCTGGACCACCTGTTGGCCTCGGCCTCGATCGACAGCAGGCTGGGTACGGAGGGCAGAATATGCAGTATGATGGTAGGAACAACCAACATCGAGAGGGCAACCAGCTTGCGCAGCAGCAGCGGCAGCCCTATGTACGGCACGATGAGGCCGCCAAGCCTCCGCATTTCACAAACCTGCCAGGACAAGGAATAGCTGCCAACAGCGTTGCGATCGATACGGGCATGTCCTCCATGGCCAGGAACGAGAAGCAACCGCCGCGTCAGATCCAGGCATCCCAGCATGTTGCCGCCAGCGCGCCCCGAGCTACCAGCAACATGTCCAACTCGAATCCGTCGACACCAGCAGGCAGAAACCTCAACATTAACGTGCAAAGCGCCAACCACGGGGATCACGACGACATTTACGACTCGACGCCGCGAAGACCCATGGAGCCCCTGAAGCCGACAATAACAGGTGACAGTCAAGTCAGCGCCGGGTCAAACGAGGAGCAGCAGGCCCTCCAGGCAAGACGTGAAGCCGAGGCTGCGGGCGCCAGCGCCGACCAGGCCAAGACGACACTCGCCCGGGACAAGAGCACGCGGGCAGAGCTCGAGGACACGGAGGACGAGCGCAAGCGGTCGATCCGGCTCGAGGAGCAGGAGGAGAAGATACTGTACGACCCGGACGAGGACTACGCACTGGTCACGGACCGGGACGCGGCGCGCAAAGACCCCGACGCGCCGCTCATGAGCGCGACGAGCTACCCCGGGATGGAGTGGAATCCGTACATGGCGGGGGGCTACGATGACCTGGACGAGCCAGCTCACAAGTGATGGGTGGTTATGGCCTCCGGGGGGGCAATCTTGCCATTTTTTCTTCGTTATTTTTTTCCCTCTACCACATCTCGCCTTGCTTCTCTCTCAGGATACCATTTGCTCGTTGCACGATATTGCTCTCGCGTCTACTTTGTACATAATGCTCCCTGGCTGGCAATGGGCCAAGCATGGTATAGCGATCAGGGGATCGGAAATATGGGTTGGATCTGACTTTTTGATCTGCAAGCTTTGATTAATTCTACAGAAAGAGGGTTTTTTACAAGGTTCTCTCTCTGTCCTTGTCTGGTTCGACAGATGTAGAGGGAACGCGCAGAAATTTATACATTGTCCACTATCCCGAAGGGCCTTGCTTCCACTCACTTGCCACTGTCTCTCGGTGGTCTGGCCGGTCTCTTCAGTGATCTTGAGCCGGTACCCCAGGCCGAGAGGGAAGTGAACACAATACTGGAGCGACACTGGCTCTATATTGATGCCTCCTGATGCCGCTGATGGGCCAGAAAAAGCAGCTGGTCTGAGGCGTGCGCTCGCTAATCGAATCGGGGCCCCCAAATCGGCCCCGCAGAAGGTGCGTCCGGGACAGACGGGCGGGGTTGCGTGAGATGGATGGCACAGTCGTACCTGAAAGAAACCACGGGCAGTAGTCGGCAGTAGTCGGCAGTAGTCAATGGCAGGTTGTTGCCCCCCCCCTCACGAGCTTCGGTCACAGTCCATCCAATGGACGGCTGGCCCCCAGCGTGGAGAAGGGAAGGAGGACCGGGACCGAGTGCGTGCTGCGGCCGATGAGGGGAAGGGAGAGAGGGGGCACAATGACACGATGACGGAAGTCCGAGCCACGTCGGGAAGCTGCATGGCAGGTCCCGTCCTGTCATGTTTGTCTCGCACCAGGTAGGTACCTTAGGTACGGCACATTACGATCATGAAGATGGGTGGAAGCATGCCCTGGAGGGGTCAATTTGATTATGTCTTCGCCAATGGCTGCAACAGGCCGAACATATGACAGCCACTGTTTGCGCGGGGCCACTCGCCGAGCGCGAGCTTTTTGACGCGCGCCGTGCAGACGATAGAGGAATCAACAGTTTGCGCCCCCTCCTACATAGTACATGTATGCGGCCCCTTGATGCCTGTCATCCGGGCTGCCGACGATCCCGCCGTCCATTTGCAGTGAGGGATGAGGTACGAGCGTTCGCATCGTATAGCTGGCTAGCCGTCTCCCGGCGGAACATCGTGTTGGAGTGCCCATCCAAATTCTTCTCGGCGCTGGCAAGAGGATACGAGATTTGGAAACGAAGAAGCATGTCCAGAGACGAAAATATGGGAAAAGCACGGCCCTGTCTTGGGTGAAACGCAGACACCTGTCGATGCTCCATCAGATGCAACCACGATACGATGGGGCAACCGAGTCAGCCGGATGCGTTCAACGATGGGAGCCAGCTATTACGAGTAGGTAGAAGCAGGCAAGGAAGGGCCGGCTCGTTTGCACGCTCGCTTCCTCCTGCTCAGCTGTCAGCTTCATGGATTGGTTGTTTGGCTGATACACCAAAAGTCAGTTCAGTCGCGTCTCGGCGTAGGCACCGCGCGCACAGAGCGAGAGAATGCGAGAGGGAACCCGCGTCTGTCAGATTTCGCGAGATTGCGCGGCGGAGATTGAGCACATGTTCGCATTCCGTTTGGGCGTGGCTGAGGCCGAGGGCCGCTTGGATTGGGAGGGGAGGGCGTGGGTGTCGGCGTGTCCAGGGCCTTGAATGGGGCCTGGACCTCCCTGCCAGTGTGCGCGGGAAGACAGCGCGAGAGCGAGGGGCGCTAGAAGCAACGAGGACAAAGAAAAAGAGCCTAGTCGAGAACACACCAGAAAAAAAAAACGAACAGCATGCAACATTGGGCGGGCTGTGCCTAGCTCTGGCGCGTGGGTGCGAGGTGCGAGGTGCTAGGCGCGAGGCGTTGTCCCGTCCGAGGCCCACGGACGCTCCTCAAGACCAGAGGAAAACAAGGGAAGCCTGCGCTTGTTTGGAAACCATGACGACAAGTCCGTATGATCCCCACCAAGGGTCTTTTCCTTAAGTCAGGTCTCTCTGTTGGGAAGATGGGCCTTGGTGGCCTGGTGTTGAGGAGATGGGCACCGCAGATCAAATGACGGCGAGGCGTGATCAGTCGGTTGGGCTGGAACAGACTTGGCAGAAACCTGGCAGCTACTGAATCAAGAAGGTCATGGTGTCATGGTGTCATGATGTCGCGGAGGGGCGTGGGCTGGGTACGGGTGACGGCGTGACAGTGTCTCTCTCTGTCTGCCCGGCTTCCAGTCTGTCTCGTAAGGTACTTTGGTAACTTGGCTCAGAGAGTCGTTTCGGTCCTTGATCCGCTGGAGGGCGAATTGGCACAGGCCTGACAGCACCAAACATGACAAGGAGTACAGGGCACTGGGCCAAAGTCCCTTGTCAGGCGCTGGCACGGTCGCCGGCGCTGGGCTAGAGGCTGCACAGCCGAACAGGCCCCCCTGGAGAAACGCCCCTTTGGCGTTGTGGGCGTCCCGCCTGCCCAGGCCCATCTCGGCTAAACACCGCAGTCCCTCAATTCTGTGCCTTCCTCGCTCGGGGAGTTGGGGTGGTTCGTGCTGGGAGACGTGCTGAGAGAGTAGGAAGGGACGGGCTGGGGTGTACCTGGCAGGCTAAGCGCCCTGTGGGTTCCCCTCTTTCCAGCTCGCTCCTCCATGTCTTTCCCATCCGATTCTTCAGGTCCAAGCAGGTGCAGGTCGAGTTCGAGTCAAGTCCGGCAGCTGCCCCGAGTTGCTCTTGCCTAGTCGTTTGCATCTCCGCATCGCGGCCCTCGTCCTCTCTTCTCACTCACCCGCCATACATACAGCCATCCATCCATCCAGGCAGCGCGAGTCTCGACAACATCTCATCCGCCACCTACCTCTGACGACCCCCGAAAACCCCCAGATCATCGGTGTCCCCAGCACCAAAGAGACGAGAGACCAACAACAAGATCATGTGGACCTGTCATTAAATCCGCCATACCCCGAGCTCTGCTCCTCCACCTTACCTATAGCACGCAGAAACTCTCACGTCACCTCCGGCACGCACCACCACACCACCACGGCTCTCCTCTGGAATTCCTTCCTCTGACGGGCACGAATCCGCTTCCTAGTCCCACGCGCTGCGTGCTTCTTGCTGCGTGCCAGCACATCGCACTGTCCCACGCAATCTCGTCAACGTACGAATCACCAACCAATCCAAAAGTCAATCCACGACAAGACACACGGCTGAGCACTGCATCGACTGGCTCCGCTGGTGTCTCGCATCGCTTCGGAACGCAGACCTCTTCCCACATACGCCTGTCGGGGGCGCTTGCCCTACATCACTCCGCGTAGCAGTTGCTCGTATCAGTGACGTTCGCTTCTGAGCATGGACTCGTACGTTGTGCCCCTGTTCTTCTCCCGCTGCTGCAAACCACTCCTCCTTCTCCTCACTTCCACATCGTCATCTGCCTTCACGTAACCACAGGCTGTGCCGCTACTCCATGTGGTCTTCACCTTGGTCATGACCTTTGCTAATGGCGCCTGGCACAGCTTCATCGCCGTCGCCGGATGGGCAGGCCATTCTACGCCGCCCCCCTCCTCCAACAGCCCCCGTAGCCTCGGCCACTTCCGTTCGCTTTCCTCCATCGCCAAGAGCCCCAGTCCTCAACCGCCACGAATGCCTGGCAAGTTTCCTTCCACCTCGGAGCTCCCCTCCATGTCCGCCTCTGCAAACACCTCGCCTCGCCTCCGCCCACTACCGCTCTCGCCCGACGGCGAAGACGCCGAGCTCAGCACCCTACCCGACCCTCGAAGCCGCGCCATGAGCCCCGCCGTCGACGCCAGCGGCTATGCCACACCTCATCACCCCGACCTCAACGCCGAGGTCGCCACTCTGAGCACCAAACTCATCAACGCCATCAACTACCAGACTACCCTCGACGACACCCTCTCTGCCACGAGATCGGAACTCGACAAGGCCCGCCAACAGATCAGAACTCTCGAAGCAAGGAATGCCACCCAGCGGGAGATGCTCTCCGGAGATGTGTGGGTTCGCAAGCGAACCGTCGAGGAGGAAAAGAAGAAGCTCCTTGCTGTCTTGGCTGTGGAGCAGAGCCAGCGAGAAGAGGTTGAGAGGGAAAAGAAGAAGATTGAGCAGGAGCTGGAGAACCTGACGACAGCTCTCTTTGAAGAGGCTAACAAGATGGTCATCTCTGCTAAAGAGGACGCCCAGCGGGACCACGATATGATCCAGAAGAAGAACGACCAGCTCAAGGCCCAGTTGGCTGACACAGAGGCTCTCCTCAAATTTCAACAAGAGCAGCTCACAGAACTCAAACACGTCATGGAACAGATGACCATCGAACGGGAAGAGCTTAGTATCGCCACCGCGCCCTCGTCTCCGGGATTCGTCAAAGGACCCGAGTACAGAGACGATGACCGCCTCTCACCTGATAGCGCTGCGCACCAAACGACGCTCGAACCCGTGTCACCCACCTACCCAACAAGCTTTAGCCACCTGATCCAACCCGTCTTGAGAACCGATCTTGCTTCTTATGAGGACTTTACTGCCCTCGCCCGTCTTTCCAAGAAACACGCTGCCGGAAACAGGCATTCGTCTGGATCTATGCCTGGAGCGAACAAGCTGGGCTCTGGACTCGGTGGAAGTATATCTAGCGCGCATCCTTCCAATGCCTCGACGACGTCGCTCTCCACGGCCGGCACCCCTGTCACCACTACAGCTCCTCAGACCCCCAACACACCTGCGTCCATGGTCAGCGTGGGCTCAGCGGATGCTGGCACTCCGGTCCCGGCACTGAAGGAGACGAAATACTTCAAACGTGTCTTAACTGAAGATGTTGAGGCGACGCTACGTCTTGATCTGGCACCAAGTCTATCTTGGCTTGCGCGGAGGAGTGTTTGAGC